CTCGAAAATAAGCTCCAAGGCAAAGCGGGAAATGTGAGTTCCGTTAGCGGTCGGTGAACCTTACTCAACGAGTTTCAATACGCTCGATTTAAACCGGCAAGACAACGAACCCGGGGCTCAATTATTAGGGCGTTAGACTTCTGATCAAGAAGGCCATGTGTTCGACCCTCGGGTAAGGCATTACTTGGGGTTGGATATGACTGACTGATGACGACTAATGAGGTCAGAAGTGGTCATTCCAATGGCCAATACTTTCTGCTTAGAGCTCTCAGTAATCCAGATAGGTTAAGTAACCGTCATGAGCCCCTAAATGTCAATGAAAATTGTCATAATTACCCCCAGGCTATATACACAAATAGAATTTTCAAATTTCAGTCAACACGGCAATCTGGGAGATAATCAGTAGGTTTTACGCCTATTTGTAGTAGAGCCTTGTTATCGAATGCAGTTTTACCCTATGAATGAGAGGGAGAGAGGTAAACCTGGCCTTTAACGGTTCCAACCAGGAAATCAATTTTGTTCTGTTATGATAGGGAGCAGGTTGCTTCATTATCTATGGGAAGGGAGTATCTCGTTTTCAACAAGAACCGTGATTTAGTGTTTTCTAAAAAGTTTATATGCAAGGAACTGGACTTTTGAAACCAAACCAGCCACAGATTGTGATCAGAACCACGATCACTTGCGTGAAGGAAGAGGCATGAAAAAGTTCTGTAGAAATTTCTCCACATCCCTCTGACTGCCTTTTTTAATCTCAGAAGATACCCACATGGCAGGTTTATGTTATATAGAAGATCGCTCCCGGGGCACACCTCTGTGAAATATGGTAGAAACTACGCACCACGAAAATCCCTGGCGTATTTAAATGACTATGAGAAAAATAAACAAGCTTTCTTTTGAAGGTAGCTTTCAATATTTTCAGTTACAATGGCTCCATTCACTGAAACCACAGGGTAAATTAATAAAATACTGGAAGATCTAGAGGCTTATATAAAGTACGTTTCAGTTATGGAGACAAGTCCCATTTCAGCTTCTGGTTTTCCGTGCTGATATGCCGATGTACAGCACGACGTATGTCGGAAGCCTCGGCACACTGGACTGGAAGATTTCGCAGCCATTAATTTAGAATTGAAGGGATGGGCAATTTCATCAGGAATTCAATCAGCGAATTACTTGACCGTTTTAAAGAGTCCCTGTATTATAATATCAGCTAAAAGCCTAAGAAACACCAGCAACTAAGGATATCATTGAGAGGATACGTTTAAAAATCAATAATTATTTTTTAAGCAAGCTGGAAAAATAACGAGATAGCAGAAGAGAATGAGAAGGAGAATTTATAAACCACCAAACTAGAGTTTGAGATTATTTTCTGACGTTTTCACTGTTAGAACACAATGTACTCTAAAGTATCACATTTCCAAAGGCTTAATTTTATTTGAGATTGCTATAAAAAGTTACCATTCTATCCCTATTTTCGGAAAAATAGCTCAATTTCTAAAAACATTCATTTCCGTTTAATAACAAGATGAGGTCTACTCAGGGGCTTCTCTATCGAAACAAAACCTTTAACGAATACGAAGTCAATTTCTAGTGCGCCAGTTGCCTCTTATTGTGGAAACTTTACTCGGCTAACGTTTTTAACAGAGTTTACGTACTCGGGAATGATGACATTATTTAGATACACCGATATGGACGATGCTACGGCCCGGGGTGATGAGAACGGACTAAACCAGTGTTATCGCATTGTAAGCCCTTTGAGTGTGTTTGCCATGGCGGAATGTTTAAAATATGTGAGACCTGAATGTGTTTACTTGCTACTGTTTAAAAACCTCCTGTGTTTTAGGCTCTGAACAGCTGCAGGCTACTGCTTGAGAGCGCCACCCTAGAAAAGGCCAAAGCGTTCGTTGAAGAGCATCCCCATCCACGCCTGTGGTGAGTTTCACAAAAACAACGTAAATAAAAGCATTACTGACAAGATTAAAGTAACAATTTAAAAGGATATTTATTTCGTGGTTGGCGGTCTGGGGCGCTTTGTTAGGCAAAAAGAACCTCCTAATAAAATAATTGCCGAAAAGACTAGAGCTTTACTCTAAAAGTGAAGCCTTAGTTTGGGGTTTACGGATATCTAAGGAAGGTCGGGGATTACTTTTTTTGAAAGAGAAACTATAAGACAGCGCGGTCGCCCTAAGATACGGGCAGTCCTTGTCGTCCCCGAACTCTTCGCCAGTGGAGGGGCTCTCACTGATTGGACGGCTCGGAGTGAGGCATTTTGTTAAGGCTCCCCTAGGAAGACTAACGCATTGGCTGTCGTCATTTGCTGTGCGTTTGGAATTATTGCGTGTGAGTTCCATAGGGCATTCTATGGGACGTAGAAGTGACGATCCTGCATGAATGTACAAGTTCAAGTAAGTAGTTCTCCCCGAACAATAAAGGGAGAGCGTTGTTTGTGAAGTTAACCATTAGGAACCATGACGGACAATATCAGTTGGTAGCAACTCATATAACATAAGTCTCCGAAGGGACCACACGGTATTCCGCTGTTGGCTAAATTCTGCGAGTAAATACCAAGATGGCTGTCCGGTCAGCCCCCACACTAAATCACTTGGAGGCTGGGAAATGCGGGAGGGGCGAGTGTGATCAGCGCAACGCAAGTCGCCTAATATCTTGTTTGACCAACTTTTCACAGGGGCTTATGTTAATAGGTAAAACCGTTGCCATTGCGATCTTCAGGCCTGGTTCCTTGTGACGAGAGACAAGTTGAGACACCAAGTAGTAGGAATAGTATATCCCGTACAGAAGAAGTGAAGAGCTGTTTGAAGGAAATGGACTATCGGACGGACATAAGTCTGGCCGCAATCGGGACCACATCCGAAGTGTATGAGCTCGGCAGCCATGTGATTCAGCCATATGGAGATCATTGGCCAGGCTGGTGCAGACTGCCCATGCGCAGTTTCTGGCAGACGCACGAGGCTCAGCGTTGGCGCAGTTTGCGGCGCCTCTGATTGGGTGTCCCATGGGCGACCGAGACTGCTATCACGTGATCTGATGTGTGGGGTGACACGGAAGGAGGCAGTGACGCTACAGGGCCACTACAAACTTGCCATGGCCTGCTGGTTACTAAGTTAATTTGCACTGTTCATTTCCCCATGTTTTTAGGTACTAGACTGCGCATTTTACAGCAGCTGACATTAGCCATCGTGGAGTGTGTCTGTTGCGTTAAAAAAATTTGTTCTGCAAACCGTTTCCTGCATTATCTGGTTGAAAACTGCCAATCATAAGTTGCCTGCTGTACTTAGTCTCTATTCCCGCACTTGACATGAGAAACGTTCCGAGGAGTTTGACACTGCATGAAGTCTGATGTCCGCTGCCCTAATGGCCTTTATGCTAGTGAATCGCATTGTTTGTGGCTGATTGAAGGACCTCTGCTTTCTCCGATGCCTGATTCCCTAATCCATTAAAAAGACCTTTAAAATGCTCCTTTTACTTTCTGCCCCATTGCAGGTCTCTGATCGCGGAGGCAGCCCTAAATCAGTTGTGTTTGGACACGGCAGAAGTGGCCTTTGTGCACTGTCAAAATTACCAGGGGATCGAGTTTGTGAAGAGCCTCCGTAACATGCAATCGGAAAATGTTAGAAAGGTAAGCTGTGGAATTATACGTCTTAATTTTTAGCCTGTGCGGCTTCGCTTGCTCTTTAGGCTTCCTATCACACAACCTACTGTGACCAATTCCATCTTCACCATAAAGGGCTTAACGTGCCATCGGGAAGAGATGGGAGGCTTTTCGTTCCTCTAAAATGTGATGCGTCAAATGCGGTGGCCTGGGCGATTGACATCTGAATAGGTACCTTGAACCACATCCAAACGGGGGGAGGGGTGGAGTAGAGGCTTGAACTTGCAATAACTGTACTTCGTACCGTCTTGGTATTGGGAGTACTCAGATCACTACAATCATCAGGCCAAAGCCTTGGTTGCCAATAGAGGAGACTACATATGCAAGTTCCAGGAAGCAGTTCAGGAGAAGAAGATGCAATCACTGGAACAAATATTTGATTTTCCTGACGTTTCGGATTCCCTCGGGAATCCTTAATCATAGATAATTGT